ACAGCTGTTAGAACGTCGAGCTTTTTCATGTCAAGGAAATTGCTAAACACTCCAAGCTGTGTGCTTGTCAGAGGATAAAGCATGACATTTATTATGCCCTCCATGACGTCTATGAATGTAGTTCGGACTTCTTCWGGTACACTCGGCTCTTCATATATTGCGGTAATGGCCGCACTTATGGTGTCCCTTTGCTTTTCCTTGTCAAGCGGTTGCATTATTGTCCAAGGCTGCAAAAGAACAAATAAATTTAAAATTAGTAGTATTAATATAAAGTAATGTCTAGGTCCTTGGTCTAACCTGGGTATGTGATTTTAATGCGCTTTCAAGATGTCTGATATCGCTTTGAACTACCAGCCTAAAAAATAGTCCGTCTTTAGAAACGATGCTTGAGTTAGACAAGAACTGAATTTATTTCAGGAAAGATATAAGTTTAAATGAACAATGATACAAACGAATTTCGTCCCAAGGTCGTTCTTTGTTGTCACGAAATTTCGTCAAAATTTCGCTCACTTTTTTTTGCCTATGTGACTGACTTTCGACAACCTGAGTGTTTGTACAGGACTGGTCCATTGAAACTGATTGGTAAGTTGAGCTGCGATGGAATTGGCTGTAAGATTCGTGTGAATTAGCTAATTTATAGGCATGCCACTGAAACAAAGGAAACAAATATTTCAAATAAACGTAACATATATAGTTAAAAATCCCAACTGGCAGAAGGCAGACCAGTTGGCTATTTATAAAGCGTGACCGAGGATTTGAACTCGGGACTACCGAGAAACAAATCCCCGCTAGTGGCAGGGTGGAGGCCTTGAAAGACAAATTTAAAAGTGTTTTCGTTCGGTCAGATTGACAATCATTATACACTTGAAAAGATTCTGATGTCCACTGATAGTGCGGTTGACATTTGCTATCCTTGTGTAAACTCTTGAACACTTTTGGAAAGTTACCACGTTAATAGTTCAGCAAGGTGGGATTGAAAAAATTGCCAGGTGACGATAAAATTTTCAATGACGCCCATTAGGGTTGAAACATAACACTGGCTGTTCCCTAAAATTGCAATATGTTCAAAGGAAAGTGCTGTCCATTTCTCTCCACCCTCCCCCTTCAACCACCCTGCTTTAAAGGTCCCCAAAATTATATAGTTCGCGACCAAATTTTGAAATCAACCTACACTGGCATATCTAAACAGAGTACATTCACTTCGATCTCGTTGTATTATGTTTATAAGAACAACCGAATTCGCTGTAATTGTTTGAAAAATTGCAGGTCGTGGCATGTCGTACTGCACCCAGGTTTTAACATGAATACGAATTTAATTCAAATTTACTTCTGCAAGGTTGTGCTGCAGCTCTGAGCAACACAGTGTAGATGAACAGCGCAATTAAAAATGAACTAACCTGGTTCACTATCTCTTTCGAAAGGAGTGCGCTCATGATCTCTTGTCTGACTTCTATTCCCAAGTCTGGTCGGATTAAGTCTAGTACTTTAAGATGTGAGTCCATAATGGGCTGTATATAAGACCTGTCATTGGATAGCAATTCTTCTAAAAACTCCCGACTTCTAAGTCTGGTGGCAATTAAGACGGCTATTCCACCGTAGGCCGAGTATCTATTGGAAACATCACGAAGCAAACGAGGTATCACTTCGTTGCGCATCTTGAATATTTCTTCGGTCATCCACTTAGACTGAAAGACTTGATTAAGTTTATCTTTGATTTTCTGTTTCAGGACTTTATCTTCCCAAAACGTTAAATTCGATAAGGACAGGCAGGCTTCTAAGTCTCCAATTTCTTGCCAACTATGTGCACCGGGAGGTGGTCTGATAGTAGGACTTGCAGGTGGCGGTTTAGGAATGTGATCACCAATTGTGCTCATTAGCATTTCGTTTACTCGCTCACCAATCTCTTTCAGTAAAGTTATATCCATATGTACGGACAGAAATGGCTTAAACAATCCCTCTCCAAAGCTTCCAGGGCCAAAAGCTTTATTTATTACCTCGGTCAGGGATTCGACGGAGTTAGGAGCTACATTATTTACTGTATCGTCATTAAACTGGAAAAGAGTCGATATTGCTGCGCACATCCCAGTGACTTTAAAAGGAGGTGGAATTAGCCAAACGAATGACGCTGGAGGTTCTGGATATTCCAAACTTTTCAGACCACCAATTCGTGCAAGTTTTTGAAACTCTCCAGGAGATGATGTGTCTGATGGCGACTTGTATTCAACGCTGTAAAACAAGCCTGTAGTCATAGTTTGTTGAGCGTAGCTTCCCTCCTGATAAACATTGCTGAAAAGAGCTTCAAGCTTGGCATTTCTATCATGTGAAAATGCTGCAAGAGGAAAAGCTCCACCGTTACCTCTGAAAATAAGTTTAACTAAAGCTGGGCTTTGGTTGTTGGAGACTATGACTGGTGTTACGGTCGTTTTTGCAAACCGAAGTAGACCTCCTCTTACCCCTGATCCTG